GAGGGGGGAAGCTCTGGTGGTCTCACATTTATGATGAACCTGATTCTGCTCTCAGATTTTCTGCTCTCATTTTATCAGAATCCTCTGGCATCATTGCATTTCCTGAATTTTCCCACCACTGATTTATTTTTTGTTCAGATATGTACCTACTTCTTTTCTCAGGTGCTGCTTATGCAGCAGTTTGAGCAAAGTGTTAAGCAAACTGGATCAGTGTAAAAATAGTTTTTTCTTTCTTCCTAGCTGCTAACATAGGTATGAGATTGAAGAGAATCACAGAGACAAAAGAATAGTGGCAAATCAAGCTATTTGCACCTTTTGAACATCTTTGTAATACATCTTGTTCTCCTTTTACCTTCACAGCTCAATAGTGAACTCTGAAAGAGATCTCCCTTGTTCAAGTAAAGCCTGACTCCTATCTAAGATAGCAGTTAAGTTTTACACCCCTGCACTTCCCATTAATTCCAGAAACACTATAGCCTTCTCTGAGCTGGCTGCAGATCTTCCTTCCTCCCCCACCCTCACCCAGCTGGAAGTTGCAGGAGCAAAAAGTTCTAATATTTAGTTTCCCTGCAAGTTTTTTTAGTGCTGCTTATCTCTGGAAGGAGTTAGATCTTTTCCTGCTTTGATTAGAAGATGACCCAGATGGGAAGGTACAGTTATTTTGTGCCATCAGCAGCATTATAATTTGTTCAAGTTGACAGCCCACTCGATTCTCACTAGGTGAGGATTTATTGTAGGAGGCCTTAAGGAACAGAAAGCAACAAAAATAGCTGTACAGTATGTGGCTAGTAAGCCTTACCAGAGTCATTTGCTTCAGGTGTGCTTGACATTTCTGTGCAAGGAGCCCAGTCATTACTCCAAAGTTAACTTTCTCTTTTATGATCTCATTTTTCCTTCTGACTGTGAAAAGGAAAGAGTTTTTCTCAATCCTACCAGCTTGTTCCAAAGTCAGGGGAGACTACATCCAATACTGAACAACCCAACAACACGTCAGGAAAAATAAATGAAATGGCTTTGTGGTGTCAGTTTGGGAAGAAATGAGATGAAATATTTTTTCCATGTGTTGAATGAGACCAGACAAAATCTGTCTAGATACTAGACTCACTACAAACTGCTTGTAGCATTTTTGGAGGAATGGACAGTCTGTTTTATGGCAGACACTCAACCATGCTACACACTTTGAAAAATACTCCCTTTTCTCAGAATAAAATTCCTTCATAGTTAGATAAAACAGAGTAGAAGTTATTTGGTAGAGTCTTCTGGAATAGCAGAACACATTAGCTGTGATTCTATACAGCACTCATATTTTTTTCTTCATTTCCAACTTCTCTTGAATCAGAACTAAATTAATAAATCCCAATAAAAGGAGAATTCAAAAAATCAGGAGCTTGTTCCAGGTGACCTCATATATTGGAGAGCAAGTTCTGGGTGACTGTGGGTTACTGGAAGTCTATTCTGGCTGGAAATATATGTGATTTTTTTTTTTCTCCAGGGCTAGGATGAAGCTGATTTAGCTTCTACTAAGCTGATTTCAGGTAAATACATATTATTTAATCCTTAAATTTCAGTTCACAGAAAGTTCAGACTGTTGCTCTCTAACTAAAATCAAACTAAACCAAACCAGAAATACACAACAAAAACCCCAAAACAACAATACATACACAAAAGAACACCCCAAAATCAAATGAATATATTATTCCAGGGAGGATTACCCATGTGTAAAATGTGCATTTTTTTCTGTCTTTAACCTTCCCATATTCCTGTGAATTTCATTTACTACTAAACCACTGTCAAATAGGAGCAACAGCATTTTCTGTGACTTGCAACCGGTAAGCCTCATCTTTAACACTGAAAATATCACAGTGTCCAGCTTAAGGAGAGCAAATTGAGCATGAAGAAGAAATTTTTTGTATAAGCTTTATGTGCAGAGTCTCACAGTGTCCTTGGGAGCAAAAAGAGTATTTAAATTTTTTTTTTTTTTTTAAATAGCCAAGAATTCTTGAGTTTACATTCACAGCTTCTAAAATATAAGTACATTAACACTCATAAAATTGCTTATTCCATGGCTATGTTCCACATACTAGAAAGACTGTTTATTCACAGCAATTACTGAAAGCACCACCCATTCTCACTGTATCTCTCAGGCCACAATCACTGGTGTCAGATGTGTTTTTACTAACGAGACTGTGGAACTGGTAAGCAGAGAGCTTTCCCACCCTTCCCTTCTCCCAAGCATTCGACAAGCTGCAGTTTCAGGGTGGCCACACCCTGCTTGTTATTGTTAAATTGAAATATTAAAGGTGGGTTCTTTTCTATTTTCCTTAGCCTTTCACCTCTGTTTAAAATAGAGTGCATTCAAGGGACATCTGTGTTACTGGCAGCACCATCACATGAAGGAGCTTTCTATAAATAGCATCGCTATTAAATAAACAGCTGAAGCATAGCACTCACTCACCAGCACCATGAAGTCAGTATAGTATTATTTATTCTTAGTAGATCTGTTGATGAATAAAGTATACATTTGTTTTCATTTTGAAATAATATGGTGAAGGTGCAAATAAAATTAAAAAGTAAGAGTTGCGAGATGCATTGCCAGAATTGCTAAATTTCTCAGGACACACTGGCAAAATGACTGGTATCTGCATTCAGAAGGGGCTCCTGAATTTTTACACTTAACAGGTTTTATAGGTCATTTTTGAAAGTATCGTTTCTCATCTCTCTTAACTCTGTGTTTTTCAGCTGTAAATAACACTTCTAGTTAGAACTAGAATAACTAGTTCACAGATGGTGAAAATATGCAAGTGAGTAAAATGCATGAAGTTTCTCTGACTGAATGAGTCACTACAATACAGAAATTATTTCAATTTGAGATGTTTGGCACGTGAAGGAGCAAGGTAAATACCAAATCATTCTTTCCTGCTCTCACAACTGAAAACTTCATAAAACAGAGGCCAGACTTTTGAAGAGCTATGGAAAATCTATCCAAATATACATTCACAGCTTTATGTAGACATACCTCACACCAGTCCTAAATTTTTCTGCTGAGGATTGTTCAAGGACTTGTCAAATCTGTGATTTGCTGGTGAAATTCAGTAGATTAACTACTTTTAAATACATTAACTAGGTGCACCTAGTTTGATTGCTTATGCTCTGAAGATATGATTGCAGTGAAGACAATCTAATTGTCTAGTAATTAGACAATCTAATTGTTTAATTTTTATTATGGAAACAGCATAATAAAAATAGGCTTGTCTGAGAGAAACAGGGACAAGACCACAAAAAGACAGAGAAAATGGCAGCAGACATGATTTCACCAAGTGGACTCAGTAACAGCAAACAAATTACAGAAGAAAATCTATAGAATTGATTACATTAGTACATAATTTCTCCCTAAAACATCCTGTTTAAGGTAATGAATATTCTAAAAGAAAAAATGCATCTTTTTTTTTCTTCCCATAACATGAAGGAGTTAAAAGAGCTTCAGAAACCACATGAAGGCAATATTAAGTACACAGACTTTCCAAGCATAAAGTCTACAGTCTACATTACATTTCTATTTTATGCTAGAGGTTTAGAATGTATATGGCATTTCTCTAAGGAAGAAACCCATTTAGTTGAAAGTGATGAGCATTTTGTTAAAAGAATTGTATGTACCAATGCACAGCCCTTAGAAATACACAGGAATTGAAATAGAGGTGCCTGCCTGAAAACTGGATCCACCATTCCAAATTATATAGTCCAACATGAAATCTGTGTGGTTTCTGAAGAATACATGGATAGTAAGGGTATCTAAGTCTTACAGTGCTTCAAGGTTTTCAAAGTAGACCCAAAATACTGACCAGTTTTCTTAACTTTTTCTTTCCTAATCACTCAACATCTCTTGGAATAAATTCACACAGAAAAGCCTAAGAAAGAATAATCAGGAATGAATAGAGAATAAAATAAGAAATACATTTTTTTTGCCACCATGTAAATATATTACCTACCTGTACTCTGTAGTACTATGTGTAGCTCTGGTTGCTCTTCTTCTGAATCAGTCATTGAGAATAATGCCATGGGTCATTAAATGGAAGTGATATTTGTATTATTTTTCAGGACTTATTGACTAAGATCTTAGGTATTTTTTATTGAGATGCATCATTAAAATATTGAATGCTGAAATCAGTAACGTTGGAGAAATACAATTGCCAAGTGAAACAAATCAGAATTAAATGTACATTTCCCCTGCAGAGCTCCTTTGAATTGGTATATGAGCCTTAGGAGCGGAATAGGCAGGTTAGGTCTCACAGAGACTTGTTTTCTTTGGCTGGCAAACAGCTAATCATTTTTTAACTTGGCTCTTGTTTCATATATCACATTCTATATGACTGCCCTTATGTTACCCTCTTTTAAGTATTCTGAGTTCCTTTCATATAGAGCAAGGTCTTCTAATTCAATATCAGTTTTTTGCTTATAATAAGAAGGCAATCTGCTGTGTAGTATATTAAAGGGAAACCAAATATTTTTGGTGACAACTCAACACCTAAGGGCTCAAGCTGACCTTACTTACACTAATGATTGTTATCCTATCCTGTATTTCCCAAGCCATATGGATTTTTGATGACAGTGCAATCACAAACTTGCATAATAAACCAGTCACTACAGTAAAACCCCAGTAATGACACATTCAGATGTGTAACACTCAGGTTGTGCTGCTCAGCCATCAGTTAGAATCTACATGGAGCAGCAGTACCCCAGGGAAGAAGGGCAAAGCAGACACTGGCTCTTCCAGAACAACCTCACAGGACTGAGGACAGCAAAGCTTGCACCCTCACTCTTTTAAGTTCAGCTTGTTCTCTGGCATGACTGCAAAAACTGATTAAGAGGCATTCAGCAAAATGACTGTTCAGGAGCAAATTTTCATGGGTTACCTCAGGCTGGGAGTACAAGCTCCAGCTGTGATTGACTTTTGCAAACATCTCTGGTGTGCTGGACTGTGGTGAGAAGCTGGTTCTCCTTACCTTCTCCCAGAACTGCATTTTCCAGCACGCTGGTCTTCTGAGGAACTTCAGTGGGGTAAATCTGCAGTGCCAGCTATGAAAAGAAGGTGCCAGTCATTTTACAATTTGCTTTTCCAATTACACCTACCCTCTGATTGTTCTGAGCCCCTGGTTTGCTGGCCCTGGGCACCTGACCCGTTCAGGCTGAGGGCAGGTCACTGTCCTAAGAAGAGCACTGCTCACTTGGGAGGTCATTTGTTCAGACCCTTGGCATTATTTTCTAAATTTCACTCCTCATAGCCACCCACTCATCAAAAATCAATACATCTACACCAAAAATTCCCAATTAGTTTGTGTAATACCTTCACCACTCCATCCAGGTTTCTTATGGTATTTCAGTGGTGATCTGGATTTGCAGGCCATGTCTTAATAGCTTTGTACCTTACCACACCTATGAAAAACAGCAATATGGCTGTAACTAAGCATGTCATATAACCAGACTGATTAGCTAAGGTAAAGCACTGTGGATGTCTAAAATGCAACCCACACATCATATTTCAATTACAGCTACCTGCGTGTTCTAAGGCAGATGCTGAAATACATCAGATACATCCTGGCTAAACAAGCTAACACTACTGGACTTCTGTGCAATAGGTCAAGAGATTCCACAACATTTCTTGAGATACATTATTAAGTGTAAGGTTTTGGTCAATCATATCACATGAGAACAAATAGGAATATGGAGAACACTTTAAAAAAGTAGCATTTCAGTTTAAGGAGAAATCCACTAAATGACACATTTCATAAATGGAGAACTGTCATGATTTACAAGTATACAGTAAAAACCAAGATATTTAAAAGAGCAATTCAAACTTTTGAAACTATATTTAGTGTTCATAAAGATTGCTACAGTTTATGGACCTGTTTCTTCCATCACTTAAATTCATATTACTTTCAAATAATGGTTCCCTTTTCTTAGTTTTAATAATCCTGGGATTCTGCTAACTGAACTTCCATTGAAACAGAGCAGTCTCTAAAATGTAGACTGGCACAGATACTTATTTGCATTGAAATTTTCATTTTCCTGCTTTGCTTCCTTACACAGAGACTTCTCTTGATTCGTTTTTTATTTCCCACTTACCTGGCTCTGCCTGCATTTTCATTGATTTGATTCTGGGTTTTTTTTTTTTCTTTTAATCTCTCTGAAACTTAATGAAAATATGCTGCATTAGAAGGATACTTGGAAATATCATAACAGGATTGTTCATTTCAAACATAAACACATTTATTTTTCTGCAGTTATTTGATACCTCCCTCTTTTCTAAAAAAAAATCCTTAAAAAAACAATCATACTCATAGAGTAACTAAGAGTGGCTGTCTCTGTTGGCCAATAGCTTTATTTTAAATTGTAGTGTCTGAAAACTCAACAACAGAATTATCTGGTTGTGTACAGAATGATCATTCATGAGTTTATTTATTTAATCACATACACACAAAAACACTCATATTTTAGGAGCTACTTGTTAACTGAATATAACTGCTGCTAGGGTGTCATGCCAACAAAAATTAATGTTAAAAAATTCAGTTGACAAGCTTAGAATCTTCACACAGCTTTCTTTAGCAAAAATACAGATGTTGCAGCAAGTTCTTCAGACCAAGTGCATCTAGATGGTGGGAATGACATTTTCAAGTGTAACTTCAGAAGGCTGCACAACCTGCTTTCATAAAGAAGAGTATTAGTGCTTTTTCAGAGAATTTTAAGGGTTTATAAGTTAATGAAATGCAGCTTTTGTTGTGGAGCAAGAACAAAATATTGTACTCTGCATATATTTATATTTCTTGATTAAAAATAACAAAATCAGATCAACATTTGACTATTGTCCTTTTACAACCTTCAGAAATTTATGTCTGACTTTAAGAGAGGTTGCCCAGACTCTTACAGATCTGATTCCATACAGGAAATGTAAAAGTTGCAAGAGGAATCAAAGGATTGCTTGACAGGGCTGTCAGGTCACGAAACAAAAAAGCAACAGGAGAACTTTGCCTTCAACAGCAGTCCCAGATCAGTCAGGCTGCAATCACACTTAGCATCAGAGGAAAAGTACACTGATGACAACATTATGCTCAGGGCAAACTTATCTAACCTACTTATACAACTCTGTATTTTACATTCTGTTCTAGCAATTGGCACATTAATCATGTATATCTGACACCATTCATGAAGATTCTCTGTTGACATCTATTACCAGTGCATTATATTTACTTTATGGCTTACTACAACTTGGAAAGGAACAAACTGCTTTTGCTGATGTTATACAGCTATTTCTGCAGTTTAACTTTTGGATTGACCCCAAAACTTTCACAGAAGCGAATCCCAAAATACTTACTGGCTCATCTGGGAACTACTGAAAAACATTATTTCAAATAGAAGCACACAGAGCTCAGCTAATGTTTGTCAGTCTATCAAAATCAAACCAAAAAGAACTCTCTGAAGAACGGCATAATGTTAACAGTAGTTTCCATATTAAACATCACATCAGCATCTGGTTTTGTTACATCTTTTGTTTCTAATACAAGAAAAGGCAAACCCACTGTACCATACCTGCAAAGCCTGTTTTCTCTCTCATCTAAATCCAACAGAAAGTGAATGGGGTCTTTGGACTGTGTCAGAGGTGAGCAGAGAGGAAATGAAAATAGCCACACAGCCTCCTTCACCAAACTCACTATGGAAATGGACAAGAGCCACTTCTTAAACAAGGTGATCCCCTCAAAAAATCTGGCATCTCATAGCCAGCCTGCAGGCAGCCAAGTTAAACAGCTGCATGCCAGACAAAACCAGCTGTCTGTACACCTCTGCCAGCCCACCTGCTCAATACACCTCCTATCACTGGGCTGAGATCTTTCAGCAAATACCCTGCTCAAACACAACCTAACACTAATCCTAAACTAACCCTAAGGCTAACCCAAACCCTAACCATTGGAACTGCTACCATAGTTTGTCTTGTTAGAATCACTCATGGCAAAGTGAGCAATGATCCTCCAAGCTCGGTCTTAGCAGAAAACTATAGATAGGACATTGTGGGACTAAATTTCTTACCCCCAGGAATGGGTTTTGTGGTGGGTTTATTTGTTTGGCTGTTTTTTAGGGGAAGTGGTATCATCTACATCTTAGTGCTTGGATTGATGAAAACCTGTACCTTATTCTGGGATAGCTGCAGTGTGTCTTCCTCTGGCTCCTCCTCTCTCCAAGAATGCCCTGCGAAGAAGTGTCACCATAGGTGCTGGAAGAGACAATACTTTATTGCTACTTACAACCAGCCCTGCTCATAAAAACACAGCATAAATGTCATGTTCAGGCTGGTTCTAAATGCTGATGATTTAGCTGACATTCCAATGTGAGCTGTGCCTCAAGTACCAAAATTCTCTGATGAATTTATATTCCTTTATGGCTATCTAACCATGGATATACAAGCCTTTGTTTTCTTCCTTTTGTTGTTGCTTTTTTTTTTCTTTTTAATTGAAATACTTAGGGTTTAAAACATATTAATATATTTTATAGGAAATTATTTTTGTTAGTGGTTCAGAATTGCATTGGTTGCTTAACTATGGATTGATCCCATAGTTGGCAGAACTCCTAACAGTAAGGCACTGCTGGTTCTGCTGTCTTTAACTACATCTAAACCAGAGGTAAAAAAAACCCAAATTATTTCCAATTTGGACTCAAAAGCAAAACTATACTCTTGAATTCACATTGACTATCAAAATGTGGGATGGAAAATGGTTCAAAGTAGGAGGATACATCTCAAGTTCTTTTCTATTTAAAGTAGTGTTTTCCCTATTTGCTACTGTCAGAATGGCAAGAGCTCAAATAGAATATTCACATGGAGGTCACAGTTCACCCCTCTGACTACTGATTTGTGTGAGGGAATGCAAAGAATTTAATACAAGCTGCAAATTGTTCCATTTCCCTTAATTATTTTCCCTGTGTCGGATACGGTTCTTTGGTGGGTGTTTGTTTTTGCAACCATAGTGATGAGATATATTTGCTGGCTGCAGTCAAAATAATTCCAAACATTTATCTACTAGCATCATTTTTTATTCCAAAAATCTAGGCATTTGCCTGATTTACACCCAAAGGGTAGGAATTTGGAGGCTATACTCCCAAAATAACTCTTACATTATTTTTCAAAATCAGAGAAAGAGTTTTGAGATTTTTTTCATACATTCCCACAAAAAAATCATGGTCACTGCTCACACCAACACAGAGCTGCATCCATTTAAATTTTTCTTACTTCTTTCTTGAGAAAAAATCCCCAGATGATCTCATTTAAATCATAAATATAAATATTCTTCAGAGCAACTTCCCTTATGACATGTGCACAATAAATCACTTTTCCCACAGTGCTGCTCTGCTGCTACTCTTCTTGGTGGGAAAACTCACAGTATATGATTTGACAAATTGCTGACAAAACCAGCCTCATTTTAGAGCCATAGAGGAATCAAATGCTCATCAGGAGTTTGCAGTTAACAGGCAGAAGTGTATTTAAAACCATGTGTGTACATGCATATAAACACACATTGGCTACTTGACTTCACTGACCTTGGATGGAAGCAATGATTTTGACAGATCCATACTGGTGACAGCTCTGAAGAACAGGGTTTAACCCCCTGTGATTAGTTTGGAGGCTCCAATTACAGTGTTTGCTGGAGTTAAGAGTGCTAGCAGGACAGTGACCTTTTCAGCTGCTGAACTCAAAATCCATGAAGGACTGAATTGGAGCCTTCAGCAACCGCTGCTCACAGGACAGTAAAAACTGAACTTTATGGCTTCTTGTTCTACTACCCCAGACTGGGTGTCTCAGGGCAGGAACACTGCCCAGCTGCCACCCCTCCCACTGGCCTGACAGCATCTTGAACAGGCAGAGAGCTGGAGGCAGGAATCTCTTTAGTTATGCCAGCATGAATTGGCAGAGTTTAGGATTCCAAGCACGTAGTCACATGAGCAGGCCTTATTCTCAGAGCTGGAACAGCCCCATTGATTCAGTGTATCCAAAGTAATTGGATTATGAAACAAAAGTAAATTCTGTCCTCCTGTTTTCTCTACATTACTTTCTCTTTGCATGTGCTGCTTTCAATTCTATTTTCAAAAAGAGACCATGGCTGCAATATAACTATGCTTAGAGTGTAATCAGCCAGTTAATAGTGCTGAGAAGTTGTGAGTTGTGGAGAGCTGTATATGCTGGTAGGAAAGGAAGGAGATACTTTGTTTGGGAAAACATCAGTGGTTAATACTGTTTCAAGTAATTCTGGATAATTACTCATCTATTTGAACTCAAAAATTGTCACAGAGCAGTGGTTATTTTGCCAACACTTTCCAGGAGGTGCTCTAAGACATTATTGGAAGCAGCAGAAGACTAAAGATTAATTTTTTTTTCTGAAATTACAAAATGAGATTGATAGTTGAAAGGAAGCTAAGGCATAATCTTGCTTGCCTAAACTGGAATCAGCAAAATACTCTTTGTGTCTGGCATACAGTTTGAATCCAAACTGAGGGCAGAAACGATTTCAGGTCTTCGGCCAGTTCCCTGACTGACAGCTTTCCAACATATCCACTTTCTGTCATGAGGAATGCACTGTCACAATGACTCTGAAGAAGGCTTTGTGCAGGACTGAGTGTAACACTACAGCATTGTGGAAGTAATTAGTTTCCTTTTCATTAATTTCATTAATGTCATGTATAAGACATGAAGTACTGGTCACTGACTTTTCATCGTTTCTGTTAGAGATGGCATCTGCTGTTCCCAGTTTAAGCAGGAGCTGAGATGACAATCAGAGCAGTTGATGTTCTCTAGGATGGGTGTTGCTAGAGAGTATTATTGTTTAAAAATAGTTTCTAAACAAAATGTTGTAGGAGGATAAAAGTTCAGTTGAAGTTGGGCAGTGGCCAGCCTGGGTTTCACGGAGTAATTGCTAATTGTGTAAGCTCTGCCCAATGCTCTGTTTACCAAGGATGTTTTGCCCATTTTAGCAGAGGTGGGGCTCATTTCCTTAACAGACACAGAACAGAGCTGCAGTCTGCTCTGTATCCTGCTTGACAGAGCATGCTCAGATCCTTAGGCATTCATAAAATGTAAAAGTAACTTCTCCCTCTCCCTACTAAATAGTGAGCTCACATAAAAGGATCAGGATGTTCCTCACATTCAATATTTACCTTTTCCTACTTGTATATTTCAGAAACATTCACAGTCAAGTTCAGTGCTTGTCCCAGTTAATCCTTGCTGCCAGACTTGGTTCAAATGCAGCATTCCCACTATTCCATTTTGGTCATTAGGGCATGAGAGCAGTAAAAGAAACTGAATGCACAGTCCCTGCCTTGAGTTTGTTCAGTAACTCCTCACAATTACCAGAAGTACAGCAACACACGTGGTTGCTGACATGAGCAAACCTCAGTCCTGAATGCAGTCAGAGGAAAGCTAGAATTTATTTATTACCAAAACTTGCTATGGGTTACAATTGCAATGGTGGATATTAGTGCATTCATATAGGTGATTTACCTCAAATAACAGCCACATGCTGCAAAACCACAGAGTATAAAAATATCAGCTTTTTGTTAATGAGCTCTTGTCTCCATTATAAAATTAACCCAAGGCTGAATCAAATAAAGAAGTTTTTAAAATAACCTAAAACTTAAAAGCATGTGGTATCTGATTGAAGGAATGGTTTTAGAATGCTCAGAATTCTCGGCCAAGCATTCAGAAACTACAGCCAAAACACTTCTGCAAATAAGTGCCAGGTCAGAGGATTATAATTATAAGTTACTATGATTATTCCTCTCATGCCACATTACACTGGTGATTGCTGCTAAAGCTGCAGTTAGGGCACCCACTTGTACTTTCTTATCTTATAAACACCACATTCTTAGAAATTTTTCAGATGTTGTGAGGTATTTATATAGTCCCATGCTAAATCAGACACACTTGAACAAGTATCCTGGGCCTGTTACAAGGAACTGGGTAGGCACTGGATGGCCCACACGGAGCTGCATAGCTGCATTACACGTAATGGTGCTGGAGTTAATTATGTCTGCAAGAGCAGTCTTAACTCTGGATTCCTCAGCCTTAGCCAAGTTACATCTAGAACATGGAAAACCTTGTATGCCTCTGTTTGTTTAACAGGAGTATGATCCACATGCCTCACCCTTACAAACAAGGAAAAAGAGTTGGGTGCGTGAGTCTTTCGCTTTTAACAATGACACGGTGCTGGGGAAGGCAACACATACCAAATAAAGCAATTCCTCGCACCCTGTCCCAAATCTGAGTCATTGCCCTTGGGACCTCAAGACCGCTGAATAGTATTTCCTTTGCCTGTTGTCTTTAGCTTATTAGCACACCCATCTGACTGAAGGAGACTGCTACTGATTGTGTACCACCTCCAACAGTAAGTCAGGGTGGGTCCTGGGGGGAAGGATGTTTGAAGTGCCTTGGAACAGAAACCCTGCAGCCAAAACTTTAAGCAATATTGTTCCCCAGGGTTTAAACTCACTGAACTGCGTGTCAGTGCTCGAGAATGCAGCACACCTGCTGAACAGAGAGGACATCCAATTAGGCAAAATTTGTAGAAAATCAGAGAAAAACGTCCTACTCTCCAGGAAAAGTTGCATTCTCTGAATTGATGTTCACAGCCTTCAGTGTAGCCCTGGCAAGTTCTATTTACAAAAGATGGCATGTTTTGTGTTTTGGCAAGGGTCACTGCACATACTGATATTGCACTTTTTCCCATTCTTTCTATTCCTGCATGTTACAGTCCCACAGTTCCCTACAGCAGGGCTTGGCTGCCATACTTTGCAAGATTTCATGGACAGTGAAAACTACATGCTTATTATAAAATACTTCAGTGCTTCTGGTTCATGTTGGAATTATCGAGACTACTCATATTAGCTCCACAGGAGGCTTCTGTGCTACTGCCCAAAAAAATCTGACTTACTGCAAATGCACTCTGTGTCTGTTCTGAAAATGTAACATGAACATATCTGGAATCTCCAAACTGCACAGTGTGTCTGCCTAAGCTACTGAACATCCATAAATCCTGGACAAATGTAAAAATGGCTCAAATTCTTCCAACAAACAAATTTCCAGATGGAAAAAGAAAAAATGCACAAGGAAATCAGACCAATTAGACCCTG